TTTAAAAAAATATGTTATTTTGTTTTAGAATTAATTAAGTTTGTGATACAATATATTAAAAATATAAATATTAATATAGATGGGGAGAAAGAAAAAGAATAAGACAGAATCAGTTGTTTCTTCAACTGATGCAGAAAAAGAAGAAATTGTTAAAGAAACATCAGTTATTGAGTTTGCTTGTCCAATGTGTAAAAAGATGTTAGAATTAAAAAATGAATTAGAAATACAAAAGAAAGGACATTGTAAATGTTCGTGTATTCCAACCAGTTTCAAAATAAGTAAAAATGATAAGAAAATGAATATTGATAAAACTAAAGACAGTATAAACTTAGAAACAGATGTTCATAATATTGCTATACACTTTGGGAGGGGGGTTATTCCATCCGAGAATGGCAATAGAGAAACACAGGAAACTATACGCGAAATGATGAAAAAATAATAGTTAAAATTATTTCTATTATTATTTATAATGCAAGATGTTATAAATAATATTATTAAATTCATTGATGTAAAAGACTTGAAATTAAATAATTTTATTGAAGAATATAATGAAAATGATATATTAATTAATTTTGTTAATGACTTTAGAAATAGCAAAATTGATTTTAACATGTTTTATAATTCTATTAATTATGCTGATTTATTTGAACAATCAGATTTAAAATTCTATTGTAAAAGAATATATTCATATACTTTAAGATTTATTGCTAATTATGATAATAAAAATGCTATTCAGTTTTATGAAATTACATTGAGAAAAATGAATAATATTTACAAAAATAGTAACATTAATGTTGTTAATGTGTTTGAATGTATTAAATGTTTAATAATTTATATTACAGATAATATTGAAAAGTTTCATAAATATTCAAAATTTAGAAAAACTATTATTTGTAATTTAATTGGTAAATTGAATAATAATTTAACGAGTTACACAATAACTAATTTTGAATTGACTTATAATGATATATGATTTTGTAAAATAAAAGTTTAGTTTTAAAAGTTTTATTTTATAATATAATATATATATTTACATGGATGAAGGATTAGAAAAGATTGTTAAAAAACTGAACAAGGTTTTAGAACAGAATAAGAATATTTTAGAAATCTTGCAAGAAATGGAAAAGAAGAAACCAGTAACAAACAGTTATCAAAGTAAAGAAGTAGATAGAACCAATGGGGAATATAAAAATAAAAGAAATATTTATTTAAACAAACTTAATAACAAAGAAATTAAAGAACCGAAGGCTTCAACTATGACATTTTATCAAATTGACTATGACGAGGAAACGCAACTTTATTCATAAAGTTGTATTTACTCATAGATAATATTATCTAAATATCTTTAATAATGAACTTATTAGAGATGTTTAGCGGAACAGGCAGTGTTGGACTTGTTGCAAAGTCGCTCGGTTTCAATGTTATTTCATTGGATTTGAAAAATGCTGATATAAATACTGATATTTTGAAATGGGGTTATAAACAATTTGATAGGAACCATTTTGATTTTATTTGGAGTAGTCCCCCATGCACTGAATACAGCATAGCAAAAACTAGGGGAATTAGGAATATCGAATATGCAAATAGTATTGTCTTAAAAACTATTGAAATTATCAAATATTTTAATCCTAAATATTTTGTAATCGAAAATCCTCAAACTGGATTATTAAAAAATCAGGAGTTTATGGATGAGTTTGATTTTAAAGATGTAGATTATTGTAAATATGGAATGCCTTACAGAAAGAGAACTAGGCTATGGAATAACATTACAACATGGACACCTAGAGATTTATGTAAAAAGGATTGCGGGAAAATTAGGAATGGGAAACATATTGAAACAGCACAACGGCTTCAATCGGGCACCAAGGAAACATGGGGAGACAATCCAACAATACATAAGCAGGAAGATTTATACAAAATACCTAGCGAATTAATTAGTGAAATCTTGGTGAGTTTGAATTAGGGTGGTTCATCACAACATCCACCATCATTGCATTCATCGCGGATGAGGCGAAGCCTTTAAGGGGGACGCGCTCACACCAGAAAAGAACCAAACACACCCACACCCCAAAAACCGCCGAGAGGGAAATCCGGATGGAAGCACAAACAAAGACGAAAGCCACATTTAAGATGCTGAAACTGACATGCTGGATGCTGAAACTGACATGCTGGATGTTGAATCTGACATGCTGGGTGCATGCTGGATGCTGAAACTGACATGCTGGACGCTGAATCTGACATGCTGGATGCTAGATTTGAGCTGTGGGATGGTGCATTCCATCACACATGACCCTTGTGTGATACATCCTAGTCTGACATCTGCACATTCTGCAACTGCGCCGTGAAAATTGTATAAATTGGAGAGATAATCAAACTTTAATCAAATGTGTGTTGAGAATAAAAGGAAGACATAATAGAAATGTAGAAGATGAGATTTTAATATTTCTAACTGTAAATAAAATACCACCTTATGATTATGTTAAACAGTTTCTTAAAATCAGTAAGAAAAATATGAAATGATTTATGATATATTATGGATGTTGGGATATAGTCAAGAGAAAGGAGAAGATGTTAAAGAAAATATCAAATTATTTATTGAAAGTAAAAAGTTTAATATTCAAAATACATTGAGAGATATTAATATTATTTTTAAAATGATGTATGAAAGAAGAAAGATTTGTCAATTAAATTATTATCCTGTACTGAAATTATAATCATACTATAATAATAACATGTAAAATCTTATATGTTATAATTATATTGAACTTATGGTTTGTAAAGATTGAAATATTTCATTTTTCCTTGATTTGCTTGTCTCTTTCAAAGTGCGTTGTTTGAACTTGGCATGCTCTTTTGATTTTTTCGTGCTTTGGCTGTTTGTTTTTTATTTTGTTTGATACTCTTCTGATATTTTTTGATGGTATGTTGCTTTGTTTTTGATTTTGTGTGTTTTTGAGATTGGGTTCTTTGATGGTTTTTATTTTTGCTGTTTTGTTGGTATGCTTGTTTGAATTATTTAATGTTTTATGCTTTGATTAAATATTTTGTTGGGGGTTGTTCTGGTTTTTGAGTTGCTTAGTGGTTCTTATCTTGTTTTCTGTGAATTTTGCTGATTTTGTTGTATGCTGTTTGATTATTTGGGTTTGAGGCTAGAAGTGCCATTTTATGTATTTTTTCCCCCCCCCCCCCCCCCCCCCCCCTCCCCCCCCCGTCCCCCCCCCTCCCCCCGGCTTCTTCCCGTAGTCTTTCCGTAGTCTTCCGTGTCTTCCGGCTTCTCCAGTAATCTTCCGTAATCTTTCGGCTTCTTCCCGTAGGTCTTCCGTAGTCTTCCGGCTTCTTCCCGTAGTCTTCCGTGGTCTTCCGCCTTCTTCCCGTAATCTTCCGTAATCTTTCGGCTTCTTCCAGTAGTCTTTCGTAGTCTTCCGGCTTCTTCCCGTAGTCTTCCGTAGTCTTCCGTAGTCTTCCGTAGTCTTCCGTAGTCTTCCGGCTTCTTCCCGTAGTCTTCCGAAATCTTTCAAGCTTCTTCCCGTAAATTTCCGCAATCTTTCGGCTTCTTCCCGTAGTCTTCCGTAATCTTCCGGCTTCTTCTCCTAGTCTTCCGATACTGTTTCGGGACCAAACAACGCGCGTGTCCTGTGCTTTCGGGCTTCTTCCCTAGGCTTCGGGTAGTCTTCCCCCACCCCTCCGCCCCCCCCTGTGTCTGTCTATGTCTGTCTACGTATCTGCATCTGTCTTCGTGTCCGCGAAGACCCCCCCTGCCCCTGCGTGTCTGTCTGTGTCTCTTTGTGTCTGTCTGGGTCTGTCTGCGTCTGTCTTCGTGTCCTCTCTGTCTCTTTGTGTCTGTCTGTGTCTGTCTGTGTCTGTCTACGTATCTGCGTCTTTCTTCGTGTCCCCCCCCCCCCGCGTGTCTGTCTGTGTATTTGTGTCTGTCTGGCTCTGTCTGCGTCTGCCTGCGCATCTGCGTCTGTCTTCGTGTCCGCGAAGACCCTCCCCCCCCGCTGCGTGTCTGTCTGCGTGTCTTTGTGTCTGTCTGTGTCTGTCTACATATCGCGTGCTTTCTCTCGTCCCGGGCCGAAATTTTAAGGTGTGTGGGGGCGGCGGAACCAGGCCGCAGGCCATTAAATAAAAGTGGACGGGGAGGTTCCCCAAAAGGAAAGTATACGAACGTCTGCCCATAACTTATTGGAGGGGGGGTAGCCAAGTTTCAGCTGGGGCGGTTCCTTGGTTTGGCAAAATGTTCCAAGGAGCTCTTTCGCAGTAGTTTACGAGTAGGATGTATGGTGACAAGAAGAACAGGGGTTGGTCGACTGACAACGACATTTCCAACCAAATCAGAGGAGAATCCAAGCATGCGAAGCTTGCAGGGGCAGCCAACGCTGAGCAGCCAGAAACCCTGGTTTGGTGTGCAAGTAGCGGCCACGCAACCTGGACAAAACGCTTGGGTCATGACAAACAGATCGCTGGTCAACGTCCAGGTGGGCGAGTAGATCCGCATAGGATTCGCGTCTAGCAAATGTAGACTCCAGGTTGCTTGCTTCAGGGTGAAAAATGGCTCGTGCGGCACGTGGTATGTCTTGTCTTCTTGATGCTCATGATCCTGTGAGTGGTAGATCACAAGGGTCTGAACAAAAATGTTGAACTAATATCTGTACCCCTTTGGCCTGCTTTTAAGGTATGGGTCAATCAGCAGCTAGTGATCATTGGCGACCTCTGATAGCACGGGCTGCTGCTTCACTACGGCTTGAGTGAAGTGAAGGCCTGCAGGAGCCATGCCCGTGCCCTCTATTCTTACCTTGCGTCAGCCATTAACAGACCTGCTCCTGCACACAGCTAGGCGGGCTATGGACCCACAAATCCCGAACCCAACATCCTGTGAAAGCAGCCTCTGAAAACCTGCCGCCTCTGAGCGAAAGTTCCCCGCAGAGTGCATGTTACAAGTCCTCCCAACAAATATGCTGCCCTGCTGAGTCCCGGCTCGAACGGCCGCTCGGGGCCCGGGCGGCGTCATAGCGCGGCGCGCCGTAGACTTTGGCGCCTGCCGGGCGGGTTTCTTGAGAAAACCCGGGAGCCACTGTGGTAGTTGCCTTACCCCCAACGGCAATCTGGAATCGGGGGGCGGGGAGTGGGTTTGTCTTAACACAGGGACTTAGACACCAGAACGGGTGGCTTCTTTTTTGTGTCCCTTTAAGCCAACCTAAGAAGGGGGTACCCTCAAAAGAAGACACTGCCAAACAGTGCTCAACACTGAAGTACAGTTCACACATCTGAAATAAGGATTTCTTAAGAGAACATTGCGCGTTTGACCGGAGCTCATGACAAATTGTCCAAGGTGGATGGAAGTTCAAACAAGCATTCACCAAAATGTCAATGAATAATATATCAACAACCGCAACTGTATAACCTGCTGTGGACGGACAAAACCCTGCACTAGCCGGGAGATGGTTGTCCCAGTTCTCACAGGGGTTGATCCCATCTGTGTTGGATTTGTTTGTGTGCGTCTTCTTTTCTGGGGTGGGTGAAGAACACATCTTGAAGGAAACCCACTTCTTTCGAAGGGCGGGGCTGCAGCAAGTATGCTTTTGAGAACTATGTGTTTGATCGACCTTCCGCTCATGGATTCGAATGGTTGGCAGAAGGTCGATCCCTGTTTCTGGCTAAAGGAGCAGGCCTAGAGGGTCCAAGTACCCTTAAGGAGGTACCACGGAACCATTTACCCCCAAAAATAAATCCTCAGGTACTGAGGGCCCTCCAAGGGCACGAAAAGTGGACCTTAGGTAAATGTGACTAAGAGATCGGCGGGAGGCCAAATGCAGTTCCTTGCCCGTCGCCGCGAAAAGCTGCCAATCTGGGGTGCTGTCCTATGCAAATGAGCTCAAGGTGTATCAGTCAGTACTCAAAATCTGGGTTTTGGCCATCTTTGTTCGAGAGAAAAAAATGGAGGAATGGAAGGGCGGGCTCCCCCGCGCAGAACACTAACCCAAACCTTTGGCCTCGTCTGAGGCTAACGACTTTGTTTCATATTTAGTCAACCCTGAAAAAAATAACAATGGAGGAGACAGCATAAACGAGAAACACACCCAAAACCTAGAAACACACTCTACCCCGAACCTGCAAACATACCCAAAACTCGGCCCGAGACTCGCGCCGTGGAGCATCTGGCCGTGCATCGCCGCTGAAGCCGCAGTGTTTGACTCCCCCGTACTGAACAAAACAGGAGGAGACGGACAGCCCCGAGCTCTAAATGCTTTGAACACGTGCATTTCAAAAGGGCGGCATATGGGCTGGGTGCGCTCATCTCATCTTCTTCTTAAGTCTGCAGGATGCAACTAGCCGACCTCTGTGTACATGTGAGACATGTGTAACATGCCAGTATATGAATATAGTAATATAGGTAATTACATTGTGTGACATACATTTCGATGCCTACCACACGCAGTAGACACGTTGGAACCTGCAGTTAAAATGCTTTGCATAGGCATGCCCGCTGCATGCCCCTTCACAAACTGTGCATCAGCTTCCCTTGCGAAAGCTACTACTGTCATATGTGTGTGTGTGTGTCCAACACACACATGCATACATCTATGCGGGTATGTGCTTATACCCATGTATGGTGCATAGTTGTGTGTGTGTGTGTGTGTTTTTGGTATATCCATGTTGTATCAATATCTACCTTGTGTGTGTGTGTGTGTGGTGTGTGTTTGTTTGTGCATATATTTCATACATGTTGTCGGCCGCAGGACACTCGCTCATCGGGAGACATCCATGTCCTCCCCCAGCCATGCGGCCGGCTCGAGCAAAACGCGGTCCGGGTTGCGGGGGCCGCGCGGCGGTCTGCGTGATGCTTTCCGTTTCACCACCCCCGCAAGGCAAGCCAATGGGAAAGCGGCTGTTGTAGGGGTTGCGCCCGTCTTGATTTTAGAGAGGCTACCGCATTCAAGTTCATATTTCCCATATGAGTATAGGTTCTACTTGGTATCATGCGCATGACTGTTTCTTAATGTTCACCAACCATGTGCGAGCGGGGTCCGAGCATTGAGAATCACAACCCTATTGGTTTCCAGCGGATTTTCCAGGAGGCGCTTTGTTCCTGCTGATGCGGACATGCAGAAATATGGCAATTGCCTTGCTTCCCTTGTATGGACACTAGGATAACATATGCTATCTGCCATGTAGTTCACATTGTTCACATGGAACAAGAAATCCAGTACAGGACCTTCATCATGGGCGATGCCTTCCACAAGCCTTTCTGTTCTACTGCGTCCTCTAAGGGTAGTTGCCCATGCTCTTCGCCCCTTTTGCTTGATTTCCCATCTTCAGAAACCAAGCCTGCTCCCTTGTAAGTTGACAAAACGGTGAGCCTCTTTTGGACCTGACCTTTTCGAGCTTCGAAGGCGGCATCACTTCGTCGCAGACCAAAAAGGATCTGAGACACGGGATCTACGCATGCTCTTGAGAATGAAACATACCTGCACCCTCAAAAATACCCGTAAAATTTGGCTATGCTGAAAAGTTGCTGGGTGATGCCCCACTTTTCAGGGTAGCTTTTTCGGATCCAAGCATTAGGAAAACACTGCACTTCTCCCACACACACACACACACACACACACACACACACACACACACACACACACACACACCCACACCCGCACCCGCACCCGCACCCGCACCCACACCCACACCCACACCCACACCCGCACACACACACCCACACACACACACACACACACACACACACACACACACACTCCTTCCCCCGCCCCGGTTCCGGTCGCCGGTCCATTGGGCAGATCTCCATGACGCAAGCCTTCCACTCTCGGCTGCTGCCCTCACAGGGCAGGCCTCGCGAGTCGGTTCGAGCGAAAGGAGCTTGCACGAGGAGTCCCCAAGAGTCGGATCCCAAAATCCGGAGAACGCGGCAACCTAAAACCCATCTTTTGGCATGGCCCTCTACTAAGTTGGTACTTCTCAAACTTGGGACCCCTTCAGATGGCTGGGTTCCTTTTGGTTTTCCTTCGGAACCATCCAACAAGGGAGACCCATGGGAGGAATCGATGGCCATGCCAACTTCGCGATTCCTAGATCCAAGTCCCACCAACCAGATGTCCCCGCCCGGACTTCGACGGACCCCTCCAGGTGCTTCGCGATTTGTTCAGCTTTGGGACGTACACATGTTCACGGGGGAGGGCTTCTCTCCCAACCCCAGTTTCGAGATTCGAGAGCGTCTTCTCATGCGGTTTCAAGAGAAATTGGGGGGGATCCAATCCAGAGGATGAGTGGGAAGGGCAATTTCGGGGCCCTTCCCAGAGTCTTGGTCTTCTGGAAAAATGGGATGCCTGGCTTTCTGATTAGAAGTTACCGTACGGCAAATGGACCAGAATCAGTAGACATCGCTGTGGAGCCCTTGTCAAAATTTCACTTTTTTTAAACCCGACCTGGGCAGAATCAGAATATGTGCCAAACTAGGGATTGGGACCCCAACATTGGCTTCGGCTGTCCTTTGCCTTCCCTTCAACTTAACGGTACGGATCACCCCAACATTCTGGGCAAGCAAAATTCAACGGGCCCGGGCACGGAGAACAACCCGCAGTGATCATTCACCCCACGGCACCTCCAAAGGCCGCTGAGACCACCTGCGGAGTCGAATGCGTCGATGTGGACAGTGACAAAGTCAAGGGGTCTGCACAAAGTGTTGGTTGTACTAAAGGGGTCTGCAACACGGGGTCTGCAAAGGGGTATTTCAAATTATCTATCCCCGTTGGTGTCTTTAGAACCATTTAGAAATCATGGGCTACCCAGAAACTATCAAGCCCTGTTGGATCCCTTTAAGGCGGACAAAAAGTGGTCGCTCCTTTTTAGGGGGCCCCTGGTGTGACCCGTGTGCGCGGAGTTCAGCTGCAAGAAAACCCGCACGCATTCTGTTGCTTGCATCACGGCTTCACTTTAGTTGATGAATAAAACGACCCCCAATTGCACCGTCCGTGCTCTGCGCCTTCGTTCCCTCAAATTGTCTATGGTTCCCCCCCCCCGGAAGCAAACAAAAACGCTTCTCAACGCAATCTGAGCAGAACAGGCCCGGATCTATGTCAAGCCAACAGACCCTTTTGCGGGTCGTTCAAGTCGACAAAGTCTCACAATTCGGAAGCTCGGCCATTCTTAACTCAACAGGTCAATGTGAGTTTGGAAGGCATTCAAAGGGTCCCCACTCAGAACTGCAGCAGGGAAAACCTTTTCAAATGGCCATGTCCTGCAGTGTTTGAATCCTTCCAAGGCAACCTCTCAGAAGCAACCCCCCCCCCCCGCCGCGGAATTGGAAATATCAACAAAGTTCGGACTAGTTTGCCACAACGATCTTCCCAAAAAGTCTCTCTAAAGTCCAGAAACCGAACAATTCACACCAAGAAACGCCGCTCGTGGCTGTCGCACCGTGCCATTTACTATCGACAATGCCCCCCTTTCGTATCACAAAACAGAGCTAAAAACCGGCCCCATGCGTTTACCATCATCCAAGGTAACTAAGACGAAATGATAGAATGGTGCCAAGGAGGCCCCTCTCACGTCACAAAAACCCGCAACCTCAAGCCCTCTTCCTGTGGCGGTTTTCTCGGCCTCGTCGCGAGTGCGGTCTTGCGTGCCCCTGGCGGACTGATGTTCCACGAGAGGAGATTCATCGACTTCGGGTGGGACCAGAAGGAGACCCACCAAAAGGGGGCTCTGGGTTGATGTTTTTGCGGGGACCCAGTGGACATCAGACAAAGTGGATAAGAGAACGTCCACCAATCACTCGCGGGGGGGTCCAATTCTGCAAGTTGTTTATCTATAGAGAAGTAAGATTTGTAGATTCCCCGTGTGAAGATGTAACTTGAGGTGATTCGAGGGTATGTTCATCAGTCCAAAAAGATACCTCTTGGGTAAACTTGTTGAAGTCTGTTTTCCTCTTCAATGTTTTCTGTTGTTTGGAAAATACGAAGTGTGTTGCATTGTTTCGCAAAGTGTAAAGGCATCTAGTTGTCAACACAACACCTAACATAAGGAAATGATTCAACTAGAATGTTTACCTTAACTCCGGTAGGATGTTGACTAAAAGATGTTGAGCACCTTTCCAAATCAACTGTTGACTGAAACGTAATTATTTGTGAATATGCTTAAATAAGGAAACGGATTGATTCAGTTTGTGTTTATCTTAAATTAATAAAACTGAAACTGCATGTTCCTTGTGTTTCTATTGGTTGCTATTCTGTGTAAGGGGCTGGCCAATTAGAAGAAACACAGTACTACCGTTCTTTATTGAACTCCATTTTAAATATCTAGTCAAACTTTATTTAAACCGTTTTTGGCAAGGAATTCCTATCTAACACTTTAGCGTAAGGAAAACACACATACTTGAACTGTGTCCTTTCGAACATTTAGTGTGCAGGCCCAGTCTCTATGGGCAGAAACCTAAAAAAAAGACCGGCTCAAGCATGCTTCCACGTGAAAAACGCCTCCCTTCCCCATGTTCTTGAAGGCCCGCAGAACCACGCCGCATCCTTTTCTTGCTCTCATGGCCTATCGGGTCGGATCGTTTCGGATCTCAAGCGTGGCGCGGGCCACTCGCCGCAGGTGGCGGTGCAACCATTCCAGGGCGTCCAGTCCTCAGAGAAAAAAGGAAAATGCCTCGTATTCTAGGGCCCAGCTCCCGATTGATTTAGGACATTAGGGCCTTCAAACAACCTGGTTTTGAGACCCCCAACTACCTCCGGGGTGTCTAATGGAGGGGTCGGGTCTTCCATTGAAAGCCCCAGGAGCCTCTGGCAACATGTTCTCCCAAAGCTCTACTTGTGGCGTTTAGGAGTGTCCATGGAGAATCTCCAATGCTCCCTGGTCAGAGCCAGGGGTCCCGGAAAATGGATGAAAACCACTTGTTCAGAAAATCAAGGTCTGGAACAAATGGGTAGCCAAATGTCAACAGGCTAGAACCAAACTGATTTACCCGTGGAATCCGTCTTTGTTCAACCAAACAATCCTGAGAGTTCTGGGCAAGACGACGGAGCCCGGCAAGTGGAGCAATTCGTGCCTGATTCAATTTAGAATTATGAGCTTGAAACAGACGTGGTAGATATGTTGTTAGATGCAGCATGATTCGGACATCCGTAACTTGCCCGGGCGCCCCCCCCCCCCCCCAAACTCAGCTTATCCCAACATTGTACTTGCTTCTGTGAATGGCCCTTCAAAGCCATGCCAAAAAAGG